CGCAAGAGGGAGGAGATATGGGGATATATGTATAGCTGATTCACTTTGTTATACAGCAGAAACTAACACACCATTGTAAAGCAATTATACTCCAATGAAGATGTTAAAAAAATAAATAAAGACCTCTGGATGGAAAAAGAACAATTGAAAAGCTGGCATAATTTTCTAGCTAATTTGAACTTTAAAAGATAATGCATCCTAAATAACAAGAGCACTGTACGTCAGACAGACACCTGAAAACCACCGAGATCCTTTCTACTGTCTTACTGAGTCCTCCTCTGTGCCTCTATCCAGGTTTATTTTCATCTTCACCACCTCTCATCCTCCCTAGAATACTGCTCAGACCTAACTGATTTTCATATAGCCAGCTCACTCAAAGTTCCAAATAAATTAATTTATGAAATTGTACTATATTCTATGTAGATATGTCATAAACACACTCAAACAGTACAGAGAGTACAGCCTGGGGAAAAACAGATGACCAATGAGTGGGAAAAAGATGACTTCACTTGCTTCCTACCCCGAGAACTGTAGAAGATCTCTCCATCTGAACCTCCCCCGCAAGATTTTATTCCCTACAGACAACTCTTACAGTGCTCTGAACTATAAACAAGTACACACGCCTAATCTCAGAGGGAGTAGGCTCCCAGACAAAAAACATGTCTTCTATGTCTGTATTCACCATGAGCCTAAGACAATACCTTGAACAGGATGGGGCAAAACACAAGTTGAATTACTGAATTACTGAATTAACGTAAATGAAAACAGTTGAGGGTGGAAGAGGAGGAGAGAAAAAAAAAAAGCTGAGAGGATACATCAAAGAGAAAGGAGAAGGGAAGGAGCAAAAGAAGAGAAAAAAGAAAACTTGTGAAGGAAATTCTTTTTGTTAGAGTAGGATTACTTTTTTTAAATTGAGAGTTGGAAAAAGCCATTGCTATGCACCTCATATCACAGCTATCAACACTAGTCTTTTTTGTGTGTGTTTTAACATCTTTATTGGGGTATAATTGCTTTACAATGGTGTGTTAGTTTCTGCTGTATAACAGTGAATCAGCTATACATATAGCTCCTCCCTCTTGCGTCTCCCTCCCACCCTCCCTATCCCACCCCTCTAGGTGGTCACAAAGCACCTAGCTGACCTCCCTGTGCTATGTGACTGCTTCCCACTTGCTATCTATTTTACGTTTGGTAGTGTATATATGTCCATGCCACTCTCTCACTTCGTCCCACCTTACCCTTCCCCCTCTCCATGTCCTCAAGTCCATTCTCTATGTCTGCATCTTTATTCCTGTCCTGCCTGTAGGTTTTTCAGAACCATTTTTTTTTTTAGATTCCATATATATGTGTTAGCATATGGTATTTGTTTTTCTCTTTCTGACTTACTTCACTCTGTATGACAGTTTCTAGGTCCATCCACCTCACTACAAATAACTCAGTTTTGTTTCTTTTTGTGGCTGAGTAATATTCCATTGTATATATGTGCCACATCTCCTTTATCCATTCATCTGTCGATGGACACTGAGGTTGCTTCCATGTCCTGGCTATTGTGAATAGAGCTGCAGTGAACACTGTGGTACATGCTTTTTGAATTATGGTTTTCTCAGGGTATATGCCCAGTAGTGGGATTGCTGGGCCATATGGTAGTTCTAGTTTTAGTTTTTTAAGGAACCTCCATACTGTTCTCCATAGTGGCTGTATCAGTTTACATTCCCACCAACAGTGCAAGAGTGTTCCCTTTTCTCCACACCCTCTCCAGCATTTATCAACACTGGTCTTTAAACTGTCATTATAAACACCTTAAAATATCTCCCAACCCTTGATATTCAAAGTGTGGCCTCGCACTGCAACTACAGTATTCTCTTTCTGACCAGCAGAATCCAAGCCCCCACTTCAAACCTACAAGTTTCTGGGTGATTTATGGCTGTTAAAGTTTGAGAAGCACCACCTACACCATTCAAGTCCTTTCTGTTGTACTAAACTTGTGTTTTATTTAAATGGACCAGTAGCTAACAATTGAAAAATCTCTGATTAGAGGAAACTGATCATTGTAATTGGATTTGATCTGTATGTATTTAACTTTAGGTTAAGTTATTAATTAGAGAGTAATTTGGCCTGGAAGGTATACCACAAAACTTTGTAACTAGTCATAACAACATGATAAAAAGAAATTGCGCATTAGGTCAGTGACATCCTCAAGAACTCAATTTTGTTCCTTCATGCGTAGCACCGGGCTTGGAATGACAGGTGTGGCCAGTGTTTCCTGACTGAATAAAATAAATGAATTTTTACAATCAGATACCTAGGGCTGACAATCTTGGGGTCATCTGGCCAAACAACCTCATTTTAAAGACGAGCAAACTAGAAATCCTGAGAGATTCAAAAGCAAGCAAGCTAAACGAGCCAAAATATGCCGCATCTCACTGTTTCCCTTTTTGTTCCTTTCCTAGGAATGTGTTAGAAAAGTGATTCTAAGTATTCTAATAAAATGACTGTGGGCTCTTAAAGAAGTGATAGGGTAAAAAGGTGCCTAGGACTAGGAAGAAGAGACTGGCAAAGGTGAATGAGGTTGGACAAAACTATTTTTCTAAGCCTAATATACTTTTGGTCAGGCCAATGAATTAATCAATTTAATCTGCTGAAAAATAAATCTGAAGGAATTCTCAGAAAAAGAAACATGAGCTGCATGAAAATGTTACAAACCAAGGGAGACCGCACATAACTAACTTAAATCTCCACAGGCTTATTTCCTGTTCAAGTATGACCTCCTGGGATAAGTTTTACTGCAGTGTTCATTACCAGATGACTTTTGGTTTTAAGAGAAGCCAAGGGCAAGTTGGAAATATGATTCTTAACTAAACATAAAAAAACCAAAAACCAGAACAAAAATCCCCCTGCGGCTGTTTCTCATTTGTTTGTAATCAGAATGCGGGCTTGCAGAGGAAACACACCAATTTCTGTAAGCAAAAATATAACGACCCAGTCACGTCCTCAAAACAAGCCAACATACAAACTTCACAGCCGGATCCAGCTGTGCTGCGCAGGAGCCAGGAATTTATTCTAAGAGCAGATAGATCAAAACGGCGAACGCAAGACAAGCCAGATTTCAATCAAAAAGAAAAGGGTGTGCCCTACTTCTTTTTTCTCTTCTTCTTTGCAACTTTCACCCAGCAGAAACCTTTGAAGGAGTCTTGGTGAAAAAAACCTTTTCAGACGCTAGTCCCCAGAGCTACACCTCGGTGGGGTGGAAAGGGTAGGCACCGCGAGCTCGCACGGTCGCGGCCCGCGCAGGTTCCAGCCGGGAGGGGAAGGGTCCGGTCCCGAACCCGGCAAGGCCGGGCCCCCGAGTGATTCATCAGCAACTCGGGATTCGCGCGCCTCCACCGCGGGCAACGCCCAGCGCGTCCCACGGCTCCTACTCCGGCCCGTTAGCCCCGAAGCAGACCCCAGCGTCCCCTCGCTCCCCGAGAGGGACTGGTAGGGAAGGAGATCACAGCCTGGCAGTTGGAAGGCAACCTCTCCCGCCTCAGCCACCATGGCCGGTGCGACTCCCTGCCCGCGCCCGCAGACGTACTTCCTGGAAAGCACTGGCTTGGCTTACCTGACTGGAGCCCGCTAGGGCCACCGACCTCCTTCACAGACCCACAGGGACGGCCTGCCGCTCAGTTCCCAGTACCCGCCCGTCTGCCTGCTGCCGCCTCCCAGGGAGTTGTCTGATACACCGCCGGCAGCTCCCCCAACTCGACGGCCCTGGTTCCACTCCACCGCCTATGCGCGTGCGCACTCCCAGGTCGCGGGGCATCCTGGGAGTTGTAGTTCGAGCGAGGAGGGCGCGGCTCAGCGCAGACCCTGGTCTTTTCTGTGTGCAGGACTTTGGAAGTGGCTGCGGATACCAAGCCTTACACCAGCCTGAGAAAACGTACTTTACTAGTGGAAATATCTACCTTGCACCCTTTGGGAGCTATAAACAGCAGCTAGAGGCTCCTTAGTATAGATTTCCTCTTTACTTTGACTTTTAGTCAAGAGGGACGCAAGGCAGGACTTGTGTTGTACCCTTCGTTGCTAATGTGAGGACATAACATCGAGACCTTTAAACTTGTCGTGAAAAAATGATAGAAAAGGAAACAGGCCAACCACGAGAGGGACGTAAATCAGGCGGATGTCACCTCAAGCGCATAGTGGCCCTAGTGATTTCCTTAGGTTTGCAACCAGGGGTGATGTCGCCGCGATCAGTTTCCACCCCATCCCATCTTTGCATTCCAGCTTCAAGCTGCACGACAGGCAGTGGAACTGGGCTGATGTAAGTGGGAGAAAAAAGTAGAAGCGCTGCTTAAAGGGGGGATCTGGGGCAGGTGGGCACTCTGAAGGCGAAGAGGAAGACAGCGGGAATACTTCAGATGGCAGCTCTAGGGTGGCCTATGAAATGGCTGCCTTTTGTCCAGGGCTCTGAGGATAGGGGACAGCCACGGCCTTGCATTCATTCCTTTAATCACTCACTGGTAATTTTCCTGGCCTGCTCTTCAGGAATAAACCATTCCCCGGGGTAATGCTCAGCTTTGATACGCCTTCTCAAAGAATACAGCCAGATAGAGGATTGAAGTGCCTGCTTGAGACACATTCCAGCTACACCCAGTGTGGGAGCCGACTAATTGTTAAGCCTCCCCTGGCATTTACTTCTTCCCCTCAGAGCAGGGAGCACCCCAGGTAAACACCCTGGAATTTCATGCAATTAACATCCACTAATTCTAGCAATGAAGATCACTGACGATTTGGAGTTCTTCAGGAAAAAGAAAGAAAGAAAGAGAAAAAAGGAAAAAAAAACCCTCCAAAATGCAAATACACTTAGGAGGCAATTAACATTAAATTTTGTGCCATTGCATCTTATTTTCTATAGCATCTTCGTGGGAATCAATTTCTCAAATATTCTTGGAGATAATAGCTGAGAGCAATTTCCTACATATTCAGGTTCAACTAATATTTATTGAATATTTAACCCACGCCAAGAACTGTGCCAGCACTCCCTTTATAATATCTCATCCAATCCTCTAAATAACCCTGCAAAGAATATAGTAGTATCTTCCATTTCTACAGATGAGAAAACTAAGACCCAGAAAAGTTAAGTAATCTGTGCAAGGTCACACAGCCAGTAACTGGAGATCTAGAAATGAAGTACAAGTAGCCTGACTTAAATTCTAGCATGCTTTCCACTGTTGATCAGACTGTCTCCTAAATTTCATCAAATTCTTTAAAGTAAGATCATCTGTGACCATGTCCAAGGTACATAAAAAAAAATTCTCTAACACAGTCCAGGGAGATGGTGTTCTGACTGGATGAGCTGAATATCTGGATTCATTTGGTAGATCTGTATTTCATTATAAGTTAATATATAGGTGTTATGCTAACTGGCAAGTCTCTTGTGAGTTCCTGCTACACCTCTGGGGAAACTGACAAAATAGAGTTCCTGAAAAAGCAAAGCAGAGAACCATGGTTATCCAGATATGGTTTATTTTAAGAAGGACTTTCCTTTACAGCAATATGGCTTCTTCTGCTTTGCTCTTTAAGAAGCAGAGACGGCTTTTAATTCAATGTCTGACTGATTTAAACTATGACACATTTCCTCCCTGACCTTCCAATATAGGGTATTAGGCATACATTAAATATATTTTCTTTTTTAGCTCTTTAAGTTTTTCCTAACAAATGCCTTCATCTTATTCTAATTCTTTTTTCTAAAATAAAGTGATGTGATGATGGATTCTTTCCTTTTCTTCAGACAAGTGTTATCATATTGTAATCACAAGACTCACAAATATGAATCGCCTAAACCCGTATACATTAAATACCACATATGGTACCAGACGTATTAAGAATAACATCCTAGTATTGGATAAAATTGTAAAAAAATAGAACCTTCCTCACTGCTTTCTCTCTCTAACTACAATCTATTCTGTATACCAGTGCCAGAATGACCTTTTTAAAATAAATCAGATCATGTCACCCTCCTGCTCCAAACCACTTAGGGCTTCCCAACACATTTCCTTTGGAAAGGAAAGGAAATTCCTTTACAATTAAATCCACCCCCACCAGTCCTTACATGAAAATTTTTATTTCCTACCACACATACACTCTTTTGCTCTACTCCAGTCACAGGGGCCTCCCTGAGGTTTCTCAATCCTGCCAAGTTATTTTCTCACTTCAAGTTCTTTCTACTACATAGGAGAATGCGTCCCTCCCAAATACTCGTGGCTCACACCCTCATTTTCATGAAGGTTCTGTTCAAATGTCACCTCTGAAAGGTCTTCTCTGATCCTCTTACCCTGTCTTTCTCTTTACTTGCTTTGTCTTCTTAGCACCTGTCACTCCCTAACATCTTGCTTTATTTACTCATGTAAGCTTAAGGAGTTTGCATCATTTACCCCTCTCTCCCTAGCATCTGCAGCAATGCCTGACATACAATAGGTATTCAATAAATATTTGTAAATAAATGAGTAACTTTCCCTCCCCTCCTGCGCATGAGTGGGATACAGAGCCACAAGGTTCATGGTAAATGCCAGCCAAGGTCCTGATGCAGCTATAAACAGCAGCTGTGAGAGGGTTTGGCTCCACAGGACAAGATCCAGTGAAACTCATCCTGAAGTGGGGACAGAGCTCTCTTAAAAGGACTACACTTTATGGGTTGCCATTATTAGCTTACGGTTAGAAAAAGCACAGTTCTAGAAGATGGAAAAAAAGGCAAAACCTGAAAATTATATTTACATAAATAAGTGAAAAGGTTAATCCACTAAATGCCTGTGGTGGATTGCAATATTGTTCCCAACTATTTGCTCTCCCGTAGAGGAAAAGACTACCTTACCCACTGTTATATGACTTGCAGTGCCTCTCTTCAGGCTTCTTTTCCTTCTTTCTTCACAAAAATACTGTCATATTGTAATCGCAAAGCTTACAAACATGAATTTGCTTTGGCCAATAAAATGAATTGAAGCGACAATACGACAGCTTTGAGTGGAGGCTTTAAGAGTGCCATTTCCTACTCGTGTGCTTACTCTTTCCTTCCACCAAGAGAATGGCATGTCCCAAATAGTCTTGTCCTTCTGCCTGGGTTTTAGAATGAGAAGTCACATGGAATCAGAGCCTCGGCTGAACACAGGTGCTGATGTGTAATGCGAGCAAGAAGTAAACAGAGATTTAGGTTTGTTTGTTACTATAGACTGACCTAGCAAAGCTGACTACTACAGTGCCTATTCCATGACAGGCGATCCTCTGAAATAAAAGTGGTCTGGCACCCCTCCCCCACACATTTAATCCCACTTCAAGTAATGGAAAACAGTTTGTTTAAGTTCAACATAGGAAAGAGAACATATCTGAGACTGTTAGGTAAAATATTTGAATAAGGAAAAGAGTACACATCCTGTTAGTTTTCAGGGTTTTGTCAGAGTGCAAGTGATTGACAAAATGACACTGTGACTTTACTTAATGTATTACAAGCCCTAAGTAGTGTTATCTTTAAACTTCCTGCCAGAGTAACTCATAAAGCGTGTCACACTGAATCATCATTTGCAAATTAATGCCAGCAGCAATTTTCTTGTTATCAAAAGTTCCTTTAGGAAATAGTTTCCTTGATATACTGAAGTTTTTTTTTTTTTTTAACGTGTTTTATAGGAGAACTGAGAAAACTTAAGCTAAAGACATCAAGTTGTAACTAAAAGGTAAGGATTTCATTCCTGGGAGCTTGGAGTTGTTTAAAGCAGTGGGAGGGAGGAATCAGAGAAGACAAACACCATAGCTGGGGTGCACAATTTTATAGAAAGGATTCAGGCAAAGCCTTTAGCTTGAAATATCTTTCCCTAGCACCCCATCTCTGCTTGTTAGAAGCTTCCTCATGTTTCATTGCCCGTCTCAAATGCCTGTTTCTGACTCAAACTTCCCTAAGGCCATCAGCTGGAATTGATTTTGCCATTCCTTATATTTTCATACCCTACTGTGCCTCCGCTGAAGGTGCATTAAATGCATATTTCAGCTAAGTGCCAAAGGGCTGAGAATTTAAATTTTCAGCTGAAGCCAAGGCTGCTCACAGATATCACTATCAAAAAAATAAACTTCTGGATACACAAATAAACTTAAATTTTGATGCCAAAAGTTAAATTATTGTTTTAATATTATTTAAAATGTTAGTGCTAAAATAGTAAAGTTTAACATAGTATAACATAGGAACAATAATTTCCCAGTTCTGTGAGCTGTTAGACTCTCCTACAGTCACTGGAGAGCCAGATTTCGGCAGAGGCGAGTGGATGAACAGAGCCATGTCCTAAATGGAACTAAATAAGAATTAAATTCTGGTTTTAAATTATACATGCTAGGTACACCAAAGATTTCTATAAAGAATAATAGTATGGGCTTCCCTGGTGGCGCAGTGGTTGAGAGTCCGCCTGCCGATGCAGGGGACACGGGCTCGTGCCCCGGTCCGGGAAGATCCCACATGCCGCAGAGCGGCTGGGCCCGTGGGCCATGGCCGCTGAGCCTGCGCATCTGGGGCCTGTGCTCCGCGGCGGGAGAGGCCACAGCAGTGAGAGGCCCGCTACCGCCAAAAAAAAAAAAAAAAAGAATAATAGTATGATGTAATCTCGACTTATCTTTCCTTGTATTATTATTTTAAAATTTTAAGCATATATTGACTAAAAAAGATATTGTTGTTCTTCCTAAGTTATCTAACTAATGCACTCTCTTTATATTTGTAGTAACTGTCAACCTATT